ACCGATCCATATCAGTTTTAGGGTACCTGATTTGGATCACTTATCCTTTTTTTTTAAATCACAATCACACACACATAGAGAGAATCTTTTGTTCACCCCTTTTTCCAATACAAAAAAGTGAAAAATAACTTCAAACTCAAAAAAATGAAAAGAGCAAAAGCACTATGTCTAAAATAGGAAAATGGCCAGACCAGCCTAGTTTGGTTGGTTCTCATAAAGGCAAACCAGGCCAAGTAGCTCCAAAACCAACCACACAATCCCATGTGCTCCTCAAAATCTTATTCATACAACCGCAAGGACCACCAGAACCAACCAGCTAAGTACAGCAAGTTGTGATCTCACAAACCAATCTTTCTCCCTCTCTCACGCAACGAATCTCTCTCTCTCCCTCACTAGACACAACAAATCTCTCTCTTTCTTTATATATATAAACAAGATACTCTAGAATTACTCGGACTAAAACAAAGTATTTTAATAATAATAAGAGTAGAGACAAAGAAATATTTAAAATTGACAGTAAGGAAGTACAAAGAAGACTGCACTTTCGACACCTTTGGGTCGATAATGTGATTGCTTCATGTGGGAAAAATAAAAAAGATGGAGGTTCCTTTATCTACTTGGTTAATCAAATATGAGCTAGTTCACATATCTTTGGGCTTCGATTACCAAGGAATAGAAACTTTAAAAATTATATTTTATATATATATATATATATATATATATATAAGATGCTAGAGTGAGCCCACTAGCTCACAGGACAAAAAGATCCCAACGGCTCAGAATGAATCTGGGTCTATCTGACGATTACGGATGTCCAGTAGTATTTGAATTTGAATTTTTATTTCTACAAATCCAAATAACTTGAAACTTGAAGCACTTGCGCATCAAAAATAGGTGAATCTTTGAAAAATATCAAAAAATAATTTACATGAAATAAAGTGACCAAAATACCCCTGAAAAGTTTTGAAGGTATTTTGTTGAATTGTTTTTTAAAAATATTTTTATTACGTGAGGCTTGATAAGAAAAACACATGTCTAAAATTTCAAGTTATTTGGATTTGTAAAAAAATAATTAAAATTCAAATACTACCAGACATCCGTGTTCGTCAGATCGGCCTAGATTCCATCTGGGCTGTTGGGTTTATACTATTCCATTAGCAAGTGGGCTCACCCAAGCTTTTTCTTATATATATACATAAAGATACTACAAAACACCTATAGGCTAAATGAATAGTGATTTCATCTACCCTCATCGCCATCCAAACTTCATCGTACGATCACAGTTGTCTGGTAGTGTTTCATTTTATAATTTGTAAAATATAAATTGACCAAAATACCCGTAAATTTTTAGGGCATTTTTGTCAATTTATATTTTACGAATTATTTTTGTTCATATTTTTATTAAGTGTGCCTCATTAGGATATACCTAAGTTCCAAATTTCAAGTAATTTGGATTTGTATAAAAAAAATAAAAATTAAAACATTACCAAACAATTGTAACCGTGTGATGAAGTTTAGATGGAAATCACTGTTCATTTTTGCCTATAAACGTATTGTCCTCTACTACAAAACCCCTTCTGCTAATTTTCATAAAAACAAAACAAAGAACAATATGTGGGATTTTTTGAAGATTGGTATAAGTTTTGTTAGTTCAAATTTCACAAGAAACCTAGAAGTACAAAAGATATCAGAACCAACATAAGGATAAAAAACCGAGCAAAATAGAAAGAAAAAATATACAATGAGACTTTTTACCTTTAGTACAAGATGCCAACATGATTTCAATTAATCTTTGACCACTACATGTGAAATTCATTCCATTGACCATGCAGAAACTTTGAAAGAAAGTTTTTTCAAACCTTATTGTGCACATGAGCTATTAGATTTCACATTAGATGGTCAAAAATAATTGTGACCTCTTTATATTAAAAATAAATTGTCTCATTGTATACAATTCCAATAAAAAAAGCAATTGTAAATTAAAAAAACCCAATGTATGTGAGACTTGAAGAGCCGCGAAAGAGGTATTTTTTCATCCAAAAAACAAAGCTATTCAAGCCATTCTTGAGTGGAGTTTGAACAGTTGGGTGTATACCAAATTAATGGTTCAGGATTTGGGTAACTTTTCAATATGGGGTTTACATATGTTTGTTCCTCATGTAAGTGACATTGACAATAATGTACCTATTCAATGATTCATACAAACTTTTTTTTTTTTTTTAGTGAAGTTAAATTAAAGATCCATACAAATTTGCATTACCGAGTGTCTATATCTGTACCCAAAAGCGAATAACTTACTGGATTCCAAGTTCAACATTTTAGTTTTGTTCCAAATTGTCGTATGTGTATGTTCGAAATAGTACAAAAATCATTATACATACAAAACACCTTAAAAATAATTTTTTCATATATTTATTATAAAAATTCATCACAAAAAAAAAACAAATACACACAGACATTTTTTATATTTATTATAAAAATTCAACAAAAAAAAAAACCAAATACACACAGACATGCACACAAAATAAAAAAAACAAGCGCTTGAAGCCTGAAACCCCGCCATTCGGTTTTTGGGCTCCTCAATCACAAGATGCCCACCTAAGGTGGTCCTAAATTTTAAGGCTGTGTTTTCTAAGTAATGGAAGTGCCCCGCGCTCATGGTTACAACCTTGTCATATAGGAACAAGTCTGCCAGCCTAATATTGGTTTTTTTTTTTTTTTTTTTTCCCCTTTTTTGGGAAATTTACAGAAAAATTCTATTTCATTTTAAGAATTCAAGAATAGTCTTATATATTTCATATTTTACACTAAAGTCACATTTGTTAGCATAAAATATAGAGATTAGATAAAGCTCAAATAGGGGACATTCATAGTTCTTATAATCATACACGTACTAAAATTATTTAAAAGAGAAATAAATATATTAAATAACCAAAATACCTTAATAATATTCAGGGAGTATTTTGGTATTTTTAAATATTTAATTTCTTTTAAAATATTATCAAATTTTAGCTTAATCGGATCCATAATAAAAAAAAGAAAAGAAGATAAAACTAAACGGACAAGCTTTTTATACCTTCCTTACAACATAAAAATTATATCCTCCTCCAATCACAATGTCACGTCTCTACATTATTTTATTTTTAATTTTTTTTTCTATAAACTATTTTGACACCAAATTTCGAACGTCCATTCCACTATTAAACTCGCACTAGAAAAAAATATAAAAAAATATTTTCAATAAAATAAAATGACCAAAATACCTCTAAATTTTTCAAAAAGTATTTTGGTCATTATATTTTATCAAAAAATTATTTTTTAATATTTTTTTATAGGTGCGCCCTAATGAGAAGATGGCATGTACCAAATTTTATATTCATACAATTTGTATAAAAAAAACTAAAAATAAAATACTTTGAGACGTCATATTTAAGATCAAACGATGAGTGGCTCTCTTCATCAAAATTAGACGGCTGGATGGTAAGGGGAGGATAGAACTTCAAATAGAAACATTTCCCAAACTAAAATACACTATGTTTTCAAAAAACAGGTAAAACATAAAATACATAGGGTCATTTTTTAATTCTGAAAATAAAATAAGCCTTTCTTGTAAATTCTCCTTTCTATTATCTGGGGGATCAAACACTCAATCTAGCTATGGTAACCCTTCCTCAATGTTGAGGCAGATCAATTGGTTCAGAACCCGCCAAGCCCCAGCCCCAGCCCCAGCCCCGCTATTCATTAGGATCTCTACGACACGAATACTTTGAGCTCCAGCCCCTCATAGGTCCCCTCAACCACGACTTCTTCCTCCTGTCGGACCCAAATAAGATTTTTTTAGACACTCCAAAAGGCACCCCATCTTTGTCATCGTGGGCTCTTCAGCCTACTGCCACCACAGAGGTCTTGTGGACAAGGGCCAAAGTGCAAGCATTTAACTGGCGTGAAGTCTCCACGAGGGTTCTAAACTATTTTTTTTTTTTCCTTTTAGGGTAAATCAGTAGTAAGAATGGAACCCAATATGTAACATTGCAAACGCTTAAAAAATAAACCCAGAACCTATTCCTGACCAAGAGGAACATCAAGAAAGAGGTGTCCAACTCGCAACCAGATATATCATGTGCAGTGCTGCAGATGGATCGACCCCAGATACATTTATTCGTCGTGTCCTGGCTTCTTCGATCTGGGCACACAACATCCAACTTTTGATCTTTTGCTGTGCCACCCCTTGATTGAACACCTCTACAAACAGCTCCATTCCCTGCCCCTATACCTCCGCTGACCTTCTATTTTGGCAACAAGTATTTCAGTCTACGTTTTTAGAGCTCTTCAACCAGCATACCCACTATCATTCAGGGTATTAGCTCCACCATTGTTACATGGATGGGCCTCAAAAACTTCGCCACTACTCCTTGGACTTTCTGAACCGGTGGCACCATATCATTTGCTCCTCCCCGTATGCTATCCTAAGGTAGTCCCTGTGGCGAACATCCCATCTTGGTGCCATCAAACTAAATTCTGATGGCAGCTCTTTGGGCAACATAGACCCCGCTAGTTTAGGAGGATTGCTTAGAACCCACAATGACGAAACCCTTATCTTCCTTTTAGGTCCAGCAGGCATCGGTGATGCCTCTCTCGCAACTTTTACAAGTTTTACAGTGGAAGTATAGAATTTTTTGGACATAGCCCACCATCTCGGTGGTTTTCTATATACTGGTCTATGTGTACATCCTTCCGTTCAATACAAAGTTAACTTCCTCAAAAACAATATACACACACACCACGGTAGAGCATTTCACCCATATCAAATGTGCAAGTTCACAGTTAGAAATATGAGTGATTTATCAAAATAAATCAATAATGCGTTTCAATCCCATTCCCCTTCAAACATACTTAAGAGAATCCCCAATCCTACTGTACTTTATCCTCTAACCATCGAAAAAGCATCTACTAACATGTAACAGAACTGGTTTCTCAATGAAGACCCAAAAAAAAACACCTTGACAGAAAATTTCAGCCACAAAAAAGTGGAGTCATTAGCTAAAATCATGCATCTCTACAGTAACTGTGATTATAAATAACACGTTTTTCCTGATCCCATCAGGGTTTTCAAAAATCCCATTGCGAGGAATCCTCACAACAATCAAGTCACTAACATATACCAAAAATGGATCAAGCATTGGATCACAGGAAGTTAATACTGGACCATATCTATTCTAGAAAAAAAACAAAAAACAAAAAACAAAAAACAAAATGAGACTTATCAAAGTCATTTCTATCAAAATACCAGGTGGTTGTAAAGCTGAAACCAAGCTCAAATCCACCAGGCCATTCCCACTGAGTAATGATAAAGAACTCAAGTGAAATCATTAGTGCCGCATGCCCTCCTGCAAAAAAGAGTGTGCGGTGGTTTCAGTTTCACAAATAAGATTCAGACATCTATGCCACAAGATCATATTCCAAAGTAAAAGAATTTCAAGATATTGAAATTTATTTTTTCCTCTTCTTATGCCTATGATCTCTCTCTCTCTCTCTCTCTCTCTCTCTCTCTCTCTCTCACACACACACACACACACACACACACAAAACACAAATGCAGAATCATGCTCACTAAACTCCACAAGAACCCAGAAAAGAACCACCCCATTTCAGGAAATCAATACTAAATGGAGAGCAACTTCAGTCTAAGTGATGAATGTTCACAATGAATCTGATTTTTAAGCACCCTTTCATAGCTACAGCTTTGGATTGTTAGTTCTGACTACTGCATTACATTTGTCACCTGGCTGCAGAGGTTCTCTGCTGATAAATTAAACTGCAAATCGGTATTAGGGCCAAGGATGTTACAGGAATGGTATGGAGAGGTAATGGATGACAAAATAAAGATGACAACTCCACCGCCTGAAGGACCTAGGATAATGCATAAATGAATCATGGTCTAATCCCATTAAAATACAAAAGGACATAAATTATATCTACTTAAAGGACGCAAGAATGGGAAACGGCAAGGCTTCTAACCCTAAAAACCAACTATTTTCCCTTGAATGTTAACCATAATGCCCAAAGCCAACCATGAGATAAAGCATAAACCATGGCAAGTTCTAATCCCCCTAAGACACAACTATAGTTACCCAATAAATATTGAATAATTATATTTGGACCAATTTTACAAAACCCAGACTTGGCCTGTGGACTCATTTGGCTCCATTGCTCTCAAATAGACTCATCAAAATTTATTGTAGACCATGTTAAGGACTGAAAAGTGGCAGACTCTGGTGAGTCTCGTGATATTTCCACAGGACTCGCAAGGGTCCTAATGCAAGAAGATTTTTCTAAACACTAATTTGGACAAGGAAAATAGGAGACATTTGTCTTTCCCAAAGAATCAGGCAGTCAGTACTTTGATCACATTCATTTGCTAAAAAATTTTCTTACTCGTACTCACTTCAACCCATTAGAACATTACTTTTATTATACACCTCCAAAACAATTTAAATATCAAAGTATAAATTCTAAGTTAGAAAAGGAATTTTTAAGTGGGTAAATATTCCATGCCTTGATGGGGATGAGCAAGGACAATTTGAGAGACTAATACGCTCAACTGCATCATGTCTGAACTGAAAGTACACCAATGGATGGATGGTGGATGACCAAGGGAGTATAAGAACAGTAATCATCACAGGGCACATGCAATATGCTGTCTATATAAGGGAAAGGAAACAAAAGGAAAGGAAAATATCTTTTTCCTAGAAAGAAAAAATCATTCTAAAGCTTTTAAGTAACACAGATATCCATTCATCGTAGCTATAACTACCACAAATTTTATTGCAACACAAGATACGCCTTTGATCAAATAAAAAGCAGTACGCAATGCAAAATATTAAAAACATATATCAAATCAACAAAGGCTCCAACTAATAGAACTCTATATCATGAAAACAATTTTCTATCCAAAAATCTACAAGTTTTTACTGTTAATACACAACATTATTCTCTTCGTTTTCACCACTTCTTTGCTCCATGGCAGTCATGTTATAGCATCAATACTTGACACTAGGATTCAGGAAGTGAGGATTTTGTACACAGATTTTTTCAGGGCAATTTTCCCAAAATATCACATGTAGAGCCCGTAAGATTAATAATTGGGACAACGAAATCAATGCCAAAGATACTTCTAAAAGATGCACAACTCCAGAAACCCAATAGTCCAAGATGTTTAGAGAAGTTAACTGTATTTTTTTGGGGGGGGGATAATTTTACCCTAGCATGAACATTGAAGTGTCCCCACAGCAGGCACCCACACTAAACACAACACCAACACAAAAGTTGGTGCATGTGTGGATGCCCAAGTTAAATGCAGGGAAATTTCTCCGTGCCCCCATTTTTGGTACCCATTTCTCAGGAGACCCAAGGATTCAAAATATTTATGGCAGTATAAAGTCTCAATCTTTTCTATCCTCCAACCTCCAACCCCCGGACCCTTTTGACCATATACTATTGACCCAAACAAATGATGAAATAGCACCCTTTTAACAAAACCTAAATGTCCTGTCAGCATCTCTCTCTCTCTCTCTCAAAAGACGTCTCTCTTTAACACCCTTAAGCCATTGAAAGTGAACAATTTACGATAATAGAGTGTTAAGGTCTCAAGTCGTGGAGAATTGGAAGCAATACCTTGAAGCAGGTTATCACCAAGATCACAGTTTTTTGAACTTAACAGTTTGTATATGGGGAAAGCCATTAAAGCAAGCTGGAACCTCTAGCCTGTTATTGGTTATCTTCAACAATCTCAATGAACCACAATCAAATACACAGAAAGGCACCTCATACAACTCTCCATAAAAAGAGCCCCCAAAATGCCCTAGAACAAGTTCAGGCAAACCTCTCTCTTTAAAGTAATTGATCCAAAGGTCCAACAGAAAACCCCATTGCTGGAGGTCAACCTCTATCTTACAACTCTCAACAGGTTCAAGCGAAACAAGAAGACTCGTTTCATGAGCCACAAAAATCTGGTAAAAGTGCCTGGATCTCCATGATAAACTTTCCTTACATGCTCCAGAGTATAATTGTCTATATTCAAACAAGGAATGAAGCCCAGGCGTGTCTCCATTTGCGAGATAAAAGGGATGTTTGGATTGCGTCTCTAATGGGGAGGAGAGAATAGGATCAATAACGGGTTCCGAGAGCTTGCTGAAATGATTCAAACCAGAATTCTCAATTGCATTTATACAGGAATTCTCAATCGTACTAATGCTGCTTTGGAGTGTCGTATCTTGGTTTGTTGATGCTTCCCCTGAATTTTCAATGGTAAGATGAGAGAGAAACTCAAAGCTATTAAGCCTCAAATCCATCCGCTCGAATATTAGATGAGGTGAGAGAGAGAGAGAGAGATCGAATTGATTTGTTTTAGAGAGAGAGAGATTGAATTGATTTGCTTTCGAGACAAAGAGAGAGAGGCGAGAGAGAGATGTGTCTTAGAGAGAGATGGAGCTTTGAAAGAGAGATAGAGCGACATTAACGGGACATTTAGGCTTTTTTAGAAGGGTGTCATTTCAACATGTGTTTAGGTCAATAACATATGGTCAAAAAGGTCCAGGAGGTTGGAGGATATAAAAGATTAAGACCCTATGCCACCATACATATTTTGAATACTTGAGTCTCCAAGAAATGGGTAACAAAAACATGGGGTACGGAGAAATTTTCCCTTAAGTGAAAGTTGACTCACGAATCCAAGGTTAAACCACAAATGGAGCCAAAAAAACAAAAAACAAAAACAAGGAGGTACTACTCTTTTTTTTCCCACTTGCAAAAGTCACTCATCACCAAGATCTCTCTCTCTCTCTCTCTGCAGCCAAGGCGATCATGTAATTAAGAGAGAGAGAGAGATAGAGAGAGCGATGGAGCTCAGAGGAAGAAGGCAGGGCAGAGACTGAGATGAACAGTCTGAGCTACCTGATTTTCTCTTGGCTCCGCTCTCTCCCTATCTTTACAGGGGATTTGAGGAGAGATCTCCATATCCATAAAGAGAAACAAAAACCCTTATTTTACAGGAGCTTCAGGTTAAGAACTCCATATCCTTAAAAACAAAAAAAACCTTATTTCAAGCAATACTGTAATTGATAATACGATAGAGCCCCTTGCCTTCTTATAGCAAATGGATGGTGAATCGTAAACTAGGGAGGTCAGGGCCAGGGTGAATTGGTCCAAAAAGGGTAAACTGGCGAAAAAATCTTGAATCGGTGAGAATCTCTCCTTGAAGGTAGGGGCATCATGAACTGAGTCATCAGAACTCCAAGGCCATCCATTTTGGGGAGATACTCGCAGCTTTTATTGGTTTTCAAAGTTTAGATACTTGAAACTTGAAAGTAAATTAAAATTTGAGATGTTTTTTTTTTAAAGTACTTAAAATGAGATAGGTTTTAATCGTTGCATAAGATGCTTGAATATTCACCTGCCATTTTTATTGCATAAGATGCTTGAATATTCACCTGCCATTTTTAGAAGCATTGCATTACAGAGAAATGGGAAATAGGAATTCATGTGATTCTGCAACCTATCCATAGAAAATTTTGGGGTGTAACTCGAGCCCTGTTTAGATATAGAAAAGAGTGGCTCTCTGAGATGGATTAACACAAACTTGGTTTAATGGACTTGGAGAGAGAGGAAAAACTAGCGGGCTGCAGATGATGGCTAAGAGGAAATGATTTACAGTTAAAATGTATATTCCAAATATGCTTGCATTGGACCTTAGGAGAAGATGAAAGTCTATTCCGGCACCAAATCTTGCTGCAAAAGGTCAATCAACTCCTTCACTGTGAAGTCCAGATCTAGCCAGAATAGCTCCTGTTTTAGAGAGGGAGAAACTGGAGAAGAATATTTATTCTCTTTCAGACGTACAGCTTGAATGGATTTGGGGAAGGGGTACTGGCAGTCAAACTACCGCCAAGCACAATAAATACAGTCATAAAAATCCAACCACCCAACATCTGCATTTTTTCTTAAGATGCAAATTCATTTCCATTTGGAGCCAAACCAGCGGTAAAATTCATACTGAGGGTAAAAATGTCAAAAATTACTGCTAACTTGTGTAGGCATATGCTAGGACTTTAGGGTTGTTGAAGCACCTACATGTCTAGTGGTAGCCTTTCAAGCAGTGTTACATCGATCAAAATGGTCTCATGCCTTGAAGCAATAGATGTCTCATGATAGCCTTTCAAGCAGTGTTAAATGGATACAAACATGGTGTCACATCTAATAGGTGTCTCAAGTGCCTAGCATTTCGCCATAAAAAAAACACATCCCAACACGTCCATACAAGTAATTTTTCATAAAAAATTCAGACTATATATATAATTTTGAAGAACTCCACAACTATGGCCGAAATTGGGCATTATTTAAGTTCATTGTAGTCTCATGGAAATGGTGCCAAGGTTTTTATGTTTTCAATTAGAACAAGAATCAAAAGGCCTCAAAGTAAAGCAATATAAGTGTGCTCACAAATTGACAAATTACAGTATGATATAGGCAAGCAGCTTTATATGACCCAAATCATAGTTTTCAAGAAAAATAACGTCCATTTAAATTTTTTGATGATCATAAACCTGAATCATGATATTTCAAATTAGCAAATTCTTCGCTATGACAACCTTAGCTTGGTTCCAATTATGCAGTCATTATTAAGATGAAAAGGCATAGTAGCTAAGGAATCAATCTTTAAGTCATTTGAGCACCCTGCATTATTTGTCAGGGAATAGGAGATTTTCTGGGAGGAGAACTTTAGCTGATGCTGTTGTTTCCATGGCACCTCCCAAGACTCTAATTATTATTACGACAACTATAATCTTGCCATTCATCTATTTAAAGCCTGATTAGATTGCCAATTCTGGCATATCTTAAACACATGACAAGATATTGCTATAGAATCCACTTACTTTGAAGTTCTTTATTTTAAGCTGAAAATACTTAATCACTTGTTTTTCTATTGAAAAGCATAATCACTGATTACTAAATTCTGTAATATTGACACATTACCTTAATTGCAAATGTGTTTCATGTGCCAATCTTTGATTTCTTTATCAATAAAAAAGAAATCAAATAAGTCCTCGTAATTTAAATCCTTCTTATTTTGTAATACAAGACATCTGGAGGCCTGGTTCAAATAACATTATTTTCCATGATACAGATCATTAACATCATAAGAAGATCAGAACACTATGCAAATGATGAGGAATTTTTATAACGACCAAGGACCAATACTACTAAAACAGCTTTTCAAAAAGATACAAAGTAAAAAGAGCTTTCCAAAAACATAAACTTATATGTAAAATTCTCTATAAGTTTTATCTTGGCTAATTTATGGACACTGCCGATCAACAGATAATTTGTTATCGGGATTAATTTTATTGAAACAGTGAATTATCAATGATAGCGTGAACACCCAAACAAAACCTTATATTCTACAAAATATAAAGATGTAACATTGCAAGAAAATAAAATTAACTATTAAATTTTCCACACAAATAAACACATCTAGCAATATTACAAAATAGTAGTTTTGCAAGAAGTACCTAGCATAAAAGCGACATAAATGACAGGTTTGAGAGTTCCATATGAAGGCATGGCATCGGGGCATTTGGGTATGAGATGCATACCAACTTTGCCCAGAATCCCCTTTTAACCTTGCCACACCATTTGGATAGATAATATGTGGATTAAAGACTATTTTGCCCCATAATTATCTACATATTCCCCAACATTTTTGAGCTTTCTAGCCCATCAAGAGAAAGCTAATTTTCATAGAACTGTGAGATAGTATTAGATCCCATGGTACCAACTTGTACATATGGTCCAGCAGCCAAGACACCCGGTGAGAGAGACTTGATGGACCTAAAAATTCTCAAATCAAATTCTGAGATGAAATTTCAAAGGAATAAAATCTGATATGAAACTCGAAAATTGCTCGAAACAACTCCCCTAGCAAGATCTAGAGTTTTAAGAACTCCATATCAATTTTCTTTTTTTTTGGAAATAATCACACAGTGAATCAAAGATAAAGTGAAAATTTTCAGGACATAAAAATTGCCCTACTTATATGGTTGAGCGAGCAATGGCTGTGCACAAGATCAATGTTCAGAAAAGCGGAGGCGGGCACCTAGTCAGCCAAGGGTGCTGGCTGCCTAGGCAGGCGCCTAGCTCACAAGGCAGCCTTCTAGGAAAATTAGGGATCTAGTCCCCAGGGGAGCTATTAAGAGGAGTTTGGTTGCCTCTAAATTATCTCGGAAACTTTAGTTTTTTAGAACTATTGCAACGAAAAACCAAAGAAGAACAGGCAAAAAACCAGTAAAGCAAATATTCATAAATATCATATAAACCATAAACCAAAAAATTGAAATATACGAACCTTTTTTATATGCATAAGATCTTGACTTGAATCGATACCCCAGAAGAGCCAAAATTCTTCTATTACAACCAAATCGACCCACAAAAAGTATGAGATTGATGGATTTTCCATTTCGCAAGAAATCGAAAACTTACAGAGAATTTTGGATCTTCAAAAAATAACAAAAAAAAATAAATTGTTGTTGGGGTGCTTTTCTATCTCTCACTCAACCAAAATACGTCTTCGGGGTTTACAATGCCCCTCAAAACCCTTTCGTCACTTTTTAGAGGTGGAAATTACATTTTCTACCCTCCATTGACGATTTTTTCCTCCAAGTCCTGCAAGGATAAAAGGCGGCGCCTAGGCGCCCTCACGCCCTCCTGGAAGTAGCCGCCTAGTCAGTGCCTTGGCCACCTAGTCGGGCGACTAGTCCCCACCACCTTAGTACCCCATATTATCCCTAATGCATGCGGAGATGCCCTTTGTCCAACTAGTAGGACCACCTAGGTGGCAAGGCGGACGCCTCTTCTAACTTTGCACAAGATAGTAATAAAAGGCCCAAAAAATAATAATATCTGAGGACTAAATATGGGTGTGTAAGAGAGAGAACACATGAGCAACAAAAACCATTCACATCTTAGCTCTCTTACATTTAATAAGAAATCACACAAAATCATCATAACTTCAGAGCCCTAGTTGGAATCATAAATATATCCTAAATATGTATGGAGGCTAATATGGAGCCCTATATCCCAACTTTGACAAGATCGTAGATATACTTTGTTGTTAGGCTAAGTTTGTCGTGACAAGTGAGTAATCTAAGAAAACCAATGTTACCTTTGGATTGCATGATGCTCAATAACTTTAAGATAACTGTGAAAAAAGGTGTGCGTTTTCATCCAATAGTTCTATTGATGTAGTTGGATACTTACAGTATAATCAATATTTGATAACTGAGCAAAAAGGTGTGCGTTTTCATCCAATAGTTCTATTGATGTAGTTGGATGCTTACAGTATAATCAATATTTGATAACTGAGCAAAAAGGCGTGCGTTTTCATCCAATAGTTCTATTGATGTAGTTGGATGCTTACATTATAATCAATATTTGCATGATGACATATAGAAACTGCCACTGCATTTCTAAGGTGTATAGTACATTAAACCAAAAAGCCAGTACCACACATGTCCATACAAGTATTTCTTAATGAAATATATAAAATTACAAAATTTATGAAAAATGTAAATATTTGAGAAGAGATTGACAAAAGAAAACTTCATATTTATTTATATTTACTTCTTCATTTTTTCAATATAATATTCATTTTGATGCATATGAATTTGCAATTGTTTCTCAAATTGTAACATATAGTAGTGTGGTGGCACGTTGGGCCTCTTTCTTAAAAGGGTGTGAATTCCAACCACAACCTACATTGCTCTTAAATAACAACTATTTTAATGAAACTCTTAAGTATCTATAAGTCCTATGAAATTATAAATAAAAATCTAAACAAAAAGTAAAGATACAAAATGAGAATGACCATGTTGCAAGAAAATTTAAAATTGAATTACACTTTTTATTTTTCAAAAGAACGCTTATTTTGATATATATCCATAATATACCTTTCTCTATTCTACACATTGTCTCATGGAAGAGAGTGGCGGTGTTTTGCCCCACAACAATAGGTTGTGACTCAAACCCATGACCAACATTTACTTTTTAAATAAAACACACAAGACACTCCATATGTTTGTCAGAGCCCCAACACCTTGAAACGTATGAACAATGTGCTGGACCAGTTTTAGGAAGTGTCGAGACATGTCTAGGTGTTGACATGAGTCAACACACAACACCGGTCAAAACGATGAGGTGTCAGAGGAACACTGATTTCAAGGAATAAAATCTTGTTTCTTGTAATAGCCTGAATAATTGCATGTCACTCATTTAAAGTTGGGAAGATTGATTTGTTTAGATATAAAAATTCACAGGAACTGCTGGGGAGTCTATCATGCAATCAAAAAGAGAACTATAACTCAACAAATATTAGGTGCGGTTCTATATTGTTTGGGTTCCAAATAGAACCAATCACTGAAAGTTGAAACGAATACGATTAAGGCCAAAGGATACGTTATAAAATTACTGAGAATGAGCATCATGACCCAAAAACAAGAACATGAGACAAGATGCCTTTAAAAAGGTAAGACCCAAACTTATCAGTATTTCATAAAGCACAACAATAATAAGATCGTTGTCATTTCTATTGAAGCCATGGGGAAGGGCAGAAGTTACAGGCTTGCAAGAATGGTTTTGATTGACATCCAATAAGCAACTTTAGAGTTAATTAGAATTACCATTTACTACTATTTTTTATATTGCGTTCGTATCTTGACACTGCTGTGGTGTTACTCTATTCTTGTCTTCAACAATAGTCCATAAATATTTCAAAGGACCAGTAAAAAACAACAGGCGAATCAAGAAAAAAAACCATTAAGAGAGCATAAAGCACTCAGTTACTCTCAAAAGATGTATTATCACACAAACTAGAGAGATTGCCTTGAACCCAATCAATACCAATGAAATATACAATCAATCACCCTAACAAATATCATCATTCAATAATTAACTTGGAATGGATTTACCATAATTAATCATCCTAGAAATTAGTCAGCCCAAAAATGAATTCAGTATTCTAACAATCCCACTCCAGACATTTTCTTTTTGAGAATCAATCCCACTCTAGACATTTTAACATCACACATTCACCATCCCATGACAAATCCACAATCTCAAAACCCATATCTCCCTCCAGTATCAAAAACAGGCAAAAATAAATAAATTTAGAGGATCAAACAAATGCCAATAATAATAGCAAACACAATGAGATATTAAAAACTTTGAAATAACAAAATATATTTTAAAAAATTCCATACCTTAATCAAGAGGAACCTCAACATCACCATCTGAGATCTCCTTCTGCAAATCCTTTGGATCCTTACCATCAACCGTGCACCCAACCGAAACACAAGTACCAAGAATCTCCTTAACAGTCCCGGTTAAATCCTTGGCCATGGATCTAGGCTTCATAACCCTAGCAATCTCAATAACATCATCCAAAGAAACATTCCCAGAATGTTTGATATTCTTGGTCTTCTTCCTGTCTCTCTCTGGTTCCTTGAGAGCCTTTATAACCAAAGCAGCAGCACTGGGCACCACTGAGACCTTAGCCTGACGATTCTGAACAGTGAGCTTCACTGTAACCCTAAGGCCCTTCCAGTCCTTTGCTGTTTCCTTTGCAATGTCTTCTCCGATCTTCTTTGGAGAAAGCCCTAACGGCCCGATCTTTGGGGCCAGAGAAGAAGCAGCTCCAACTTCACCACCTGTGACTCGAACATAGACATCCACCACCTGAGACGGATCAAATTTTGGAGGCATGGCGAATCTCTGCAAAATAATTTTTGGTCAGGGTTTCGGAGGAAATGTAGGAATTCTATTGAGATGGAGGAATGGAGGAGAGATAGAGAGAAGCATGTAGAGAGAGACAGAGGGGGAAGTACTTAGAAAGAGAAAGTAAGGGAGGAGAGAGAAAGAAGTAACACGAGAGAGATGTAGATAGAGTGTACCAGGTGGCGAGCACCTTCTAATACTAGAGAGAGAGTACCAGATAGCGAGCTCCGAGCTCCTTACGAACCTAGAGAGAGAGAGCTTCGGAGGAACCAGAGAACAAAAGGCCCTAGGGCTCTCGCCAATTTATAGTCGCATTAAAACTCGTTTAAATATTGATCCGTCCCAATCCATCGAATCATCTCGATCCCGAGTCCGTATTTTGGTAAGGTGCGTCGTGATGAATCACTATGGAATATGGACTATAGTGCAGTAAGTATTTACTTGGATTATACAAAAGGGCCATTTACTTTTAGTTTAAGAAGGTCATAACTATTTTTGTCCATCAAATTCCAAATCAAAAGATTGTAAGTGTATTTGAACTTCGTGACATATCTCAAGTCATCTAATTGGATATCTAATGGTTAGGATTAATTGTGATGTTTTTGTACTAAAGATAAATTATCTCATAGTATACAATCCCTAAGTTATATAACGCAATAATTTTACTCGTAGAAATAAGGTTATACTAATGTGCACCACCCGTTTTGATTGGACATTATCAATTAGACATTACTGAGTTAAGAAACATTGACATTGTGTTAAAAAAAAATGTTTGCTTTTAATACAATTTTAAAGACGTGGTAAATCTATATTGTCCGACTAAAATGGATGGGGCATAACACCGTAATATTGTATCTATAAATCTAAAGAAGATTATCACCTAATGCAAATTGCACATTTGCACGTGTCACACAAGCACTCCAAATTAGTGTATATTTGACATAACAAAATCTTGATTATAAAAAATTTGGATAGATAGACTGATGAAAGCATTGCTGGCTTTTCCTGTACCTGGATCAGATACTACCTTGACATGTGTTTTTTCATTCATCTTTTTTTGTTGGCATTTCAAAATTTTAAGAGAATTGAAATGAGTGTTTGGTTATTCAAATCATTATTTGTCTTTCTTATTATGCCCAGATTTGATTAGTAATTTTTACCAAGCTTGTGTTGTCTCTCAGCATTTAAAAGATGAACATTGTACAAATGAGGATGATGCCAATGCAAGTTACAAAAACAGACATGCCCAATAGTTGAGAGACAGAAAGCGATAGAGATGGAGGGCATCCATTTCATATATTAAATTCCCCGCTATTACTCTCCCATTTTCCTTCAAATTTTAGAGAAAAATGTATACTCTACTGGGAGTATACTGTCTATTTACTCTTTTGGGTAAAACTCATTGAGTGAGTAATTTTAGATCCTCAAAATTTAGGGATATAACCTCTGTAACTAATATGTTAACCTCATTAAATAAAGACAAAAGAAAAAGAAAAACTAAATAAAACAAAATAAATTTTAATTGGTCAAATTTTCTCAAAAAACAAAATAAAACAAATTGTACTCCATATGCACTTGAAAATTTAATGTCTCGATATTGAAGAGAGAATGCCCAAGTTTTTTTTAGGGGTAAGTTCTAGGTGTTAGAAAACTCAAAGTCCATCTTTTTTATTTTGAAAATAGTTGTCTAGTGAATATTATATGGTTCTCAAAATCTTTTATATTGAAAAGGTTCCCCAGAGTAGGTCTTCTAACCGGGGAAGTAGATGTACATTATTGCTCTTGCAGGAACATAACATATGTAATCTTTACTTTTTCATTTTGATAGTTGTTCCCTCCTTTTTATACGTTTCCTTCTTTTTTTTCCCTCTCGGGGGCGGGCAGAAAGCCCCTCAAGATGTGTTCCCTCATGATCTTTGCGACAAGGGAACACACTTCTCGATGTTGATAAGGAGCAAATTGATAAGTTTGGGAGATTTTTGATTTGTTGTGAAGTGTTAATGGGGCTGAAAGTTAATTTTAGAAAAACGGCAATGATTGGGGTGAATTGTGAAGAGGAGCTAGTTAGAGATCTAGCATTTAGAGCGGACAAATTCCCTTTCAAATATTTAGGCCTGCCAATCTTCGATGGGTGCCTACCCATTGTTGTGTGGGACAGTGTCATACAAAAGGTGCAAGTTAAACCAGACCTTTAGAAGCCTAAGTACTTATCTTTGGGGGGCAGAGTCACCTTGTTAAATTCCTGCTTAGCAAATATCCCTATTTACAAATGTCCCTTATGCTAGGCATATTAAATGTATGATGCGTAACTTTCTATAGGGCTCATTTGAAGAAGAAAGAAAATACCACCTTATTTGGTGGGATAAGGTTTGCACACCGAATAGAGGAGGAGACCTAGGGGTGAGAAGATTGCTGCTTATGGACGTTACACTACTGTGTAAGTGGTGGTGGCAGAGTCTCACTTACAAAGAGCACCTTTGGTATAAAGTACTGCTATCAAAGTACGGAGTGGATGGATTTGGGATGTGGTTGAAAAGATGAGAGGGAAGGGAGAGCACCTCCCTTCTTTAGAAAGATATTTATGACCTCAAATAGATTTTAGACCGCAATGTCCGATGGCTGCCTGGTTCGGGATCCGCGGTTTCCTTTTGGCATCACAAATGGTTGGGAAATAAACCTTTAAAGTATGTCTGAGAAATGAACCTTTAAAGTATGGCAGACTTGGTCGAAGTTAGAAGCGACAGGGCTTATGGAATATCACTTTCCCTTATGACAGGCTTCAGAGTTATCTCTTTCTTCCGCTTCTTAATCTGCTACAAGAGCTTGAGCAACCTTTCATTAGGCAGCATGATGATGATGAAGTGGTATGGGAAATTGAAAATGATAGTTAGTTCTTTGTTAAGTTGGTCTATATATTACTTTTATTTGACATAGTGCGTTGGTCTCTTCCGAAGATAAAGCAAATATAGAATTGGCCTATTCCACATAGAGTACAAGTCTTTCTTTGGTTGGCAATGTTCGAACACATTTTTCAGCACCTTAATCCTCGATGCGGAATAAAGAGGAAGCAGGTCAATAAAGCCTACAAAACGGTGGAAATTTCAACAATCTCATAATGGCTCCAGAATCAGTCAAGATCTTCACTAGCATTCCAAAATTCCACCTACCAAGTTTCATTGCAATCAAATATGTCTAAAGTAGTAAACACAAATAAACAATTTTGGCAAAATCGGCCTCTAGCACCCTGAAATGGATCTCGTAACTAAAACTATATTTTTTGTGCGTCAAACAGCTGTGGGACCACCGCCATTGAATTCGGAACAGTCGAAAACCCCTATGGGTCAAGTTTCGACTTAAGCGTGCACTCTAGGACAAAGTTAGGGATAAAATACCAAAAGGCGTAAGCCGCACACTATTCTCGTGTGGCCACCCTGCACCAAAACACCATTAATGGTGGTTGTTTTTACAGTCACAAGCAGTGACTTTCGAAGTCTATATCTCACTCGTTTCAAGTTTGATTGCTCTCAAAATTTGTGAGCTTGTTCGTCTCATCAAGACGAGCGTTTCGATATATGGTACGCCTTGTGACAATGCCCGAGCAAGAAAAAAAACTAGAGAGAAATTACTAATACATGAAGAAAGTTGCAAAAAATTCAGTAGCAGCACTCCCCACTCCGGTGGCCAAATCACAATGCTCGCGTACCCGATCGGTACGAAACCAATTGCATTATGCGCGTGAGGTCTGTGGCTATCTCTGGTATGAACTCCGTACAAGATGAATGATTGGATTTCACACACGGAGGTATCAAAGCTGTTGTAAATTATGGCTGCCAGATTTCAATATTTCGGCTAAAAACTCAAGATGACGAAATATTTATCCAGACACAAAATTGAGTTGCGTTTATTGCAACGTGATCATGATGGCATATTCAGTGTGATTCAACTAAGAAAGTGAAGACAAACATTAAGAAACGAGCACACAATCGATTCAAAGTTTTCAATATTCAAACAAATTTCAAGTTTTATGATTATGCTTAAAAACGTAATTCATGACTCAAAGTTGGTATCAGAATAACCTCGGATCAGTCGTGGAAGATCACGCAAGTTCTCGGACAGCAGTATGGACTATTTTGAGATTCCACACATTGTTATGCAGGGGCAAAATAGTCATTTTACACTCATTTTTAGAATTTATTTTAATTTAATTAAATTGTAATTATATTCAATTCTAGGTAGTTTTTGGGCGTCCACCCATATTTGGGCTCAATTCTATATAAGCACGTAAAGCCAAATTGTAAAATCCCTTGGGGTTGATTTTTAAATATTCAATAAAGACGTCCTTTTTGCTTAAGCTCGTGGGTGCGTCTTGGAGAGAATGATGAGAGAGAAGAAAACGACTGGTACGCTTCAGTAAAAAAACAGGCGAATACAAGCCAAGGGAGGCAATTTCGAACCAGTTTTATGACTGGGGGGCTTTCTTCGTGATCTAAGAGGGCATCCACACAAGCCAACCCGAGTAAGTCCCGAACCCATCTTAAATTCCTCTCTCATCGGTTGGTAATACCTGCCCTTGTTCTCGAACGAGGTTCCCGAGAAAGCGATCTCAAAACGTCTCGAGTCTCCCCTGACGAGACACGTGCTACTCAATCATCCAGATTCGGAGGGTGAGATCGAGGCACCTAACCAGGCGGCCCAAGATAAACTTCTAAAAGTTGACAATCTGATTAAAAGAGGGAAGTACATCACTAATGTTTGCTTGATGTGCAAGGAAGATAGTGAGAGTGGGGTGTACCTATTATCCATTGTTCATTTATATCCAAAATTTGGTGGTGATGCTTTCAATTGCTGGGGATAAACCTAACCTTACCGCAACATGTGTTGGATTTGATCACTCAATTGGAAGTGCCTTTACCAAAAATTGGGAACTCTATTTGGAAGATCCTTCACGTTGTTATTCTATGGGAAGTATGGTTGGATAGAAATCGAATAACCTTTGAAGGGATAGCCTGTTGTTTTGACAGGATATTAAATAATATTAAAATATCTATTTGGTCATGCCTAGCTGTCATCAAGGAAGGCAAGGGCTTATCCAAGGTTGATGTTTTTATTAATCTCTCTAACCTTTTTCAGTTGGATGTGCCTAAAGTTAGACCTTCTACTAGATGGAAGCCACCTGATCTAGGAGTGCTTAAGCTGAATTTTGATGCAAGCTCGTTTGGCAATCCAGGTCTAGCTGGCTACGGTGGTGCAATACGTAATTGCCAAAGAAATGTTTTAGCTGCATAT